GGGATGGGGTGGCTGGGTGATAGACATTGGGGAGGATAGGATATGTGCTATGGTGAACGTTGTGAATTGTGTTAAGACTAATGAATCACAGACCTGTACCTCTGAAACAAATAATACATTATATGTTAATCTAAAAAGCACAAAAACAGCATATGAGCATAGTGTTGACAAGCTGTCCAGTTTTCATAAGCACAAAAAAGCTGTGATATGCCTTTCAAAGAAAATATATGTGTTAGATAAGTTTCATTTATGCATGAGTTATAGTGCCATTGGCTAGGAGTTCAATGTTGATTATTCAATCATGTATATTAAATAAAGTATCTTTTTTAATTTTTAATTTTTTTCTTAGAGAGAGAGCATGCAAGCACATGTGAGTGGTGGGAGGGGGAGGGGCAGAAGGAGAGGGAGAGAGGGGAGGGGCAGAAGGAGAGGGAGAGAGATCATCTTAGGCAGGCATACGCTCCGTGAGGAGCCCATCACAGGGCTCTATCCCATGACCCTGAGATCATGACCTGAGCTGAACTCAAGAGTCAGATGTTCAACCACCTGAGCCACCCAGAAGGCCCTAAATAAGGTATCTTTAAACAGAAACACACATTTTTAAAAAGTTATGTATTGATCAGTTGATGAGTATGTTATGATCGGAAACTTGCAGAAACTTGCTGGCTAACTCTATATTTGGCTTAGGAGTGATATTTCAATATCTGCTAATTCAGTGTTTGTGGCAATTTTACAGAACATAACTATTGCAAGGACAAGCATCAAGAATCGACTGAACATTTCTAGTTTTAAAGGCAATCTGACTGTGACATCTCTCACCCATACCAACTGAATAAGCTGATTAAAGGAGGTCACTTTCACTATTTCATTCTTCTTATTACAGCCATCTCAAAGCTGTAAGCAGTACTTGAGAAGGCAGCATCCCAGTGGAGACCTCCCGCATAAAGGGAGAACCCACAAGTGCTGCTGTCCGCGGTGCTGATTATACAAAGGCAGCTTCCCGCAGACTTTTCCATTTGTTAGCCAAAATGCTGGCTAAACTCTCTGCAGGGGAAGGTTTTCATTGGCTGGCTTGGGAAGCATGCCCTTCCCTGAACCAAATATGGCCCGAGAGAGAAATGTTATGATTGGTATTGAGGTTAGAGTTCCTATCGGTATCGCAGAGGCTAAAGTAGGAATTGATGTTTCCCCAAAGGAAAATGTAGGCTCTGTTGCCAGTAGGAAGTGGACTAGATTCCACATAGGCAAGAGAAACAGATTTCATCAACTACTCTCCTGTGATAGTCATCTGTGTATTTTCAACACCCTTTCCCCATCATTCCAGGTTATCTGTTCATGTCTCTTGTACTTTAAAGAATCTGATTCTCATGAAAGAATTTTTTTTTTTGTTTACACTAGGAAAAGGATGCTAACGTTTGTCAAAACCAGGAAAGAAAGTGTGGAGTTTCTTTGGAGAAAGAAATTGTCCTAGAAAATGGGGGTAACCAAATTTGCATTTCTCTAATATTGCAACAATTGATGTTATCACCCCTGGCTAAGACCACACACAGAAATATTACCTTGGTCATTGGAAACTAAAGTCTGATTAGTAAGTAAGAATGATCTTGCACTATGCTACCACTCCCCATTAGCCCAGCAAGTCAGGGAAGTCCTGGAATCCTACCATCCTATTACATAGTATACATATGGGCCTGGGAGTTTGATTACCACTGACTCTACGTCTAATTCACATCATGCTGTAGGTTCTGTGGAGGTAATTTGATGAACTTTGGGCCTCACTGAGGTAACTAAAAGGTCTGGGATCAAGGACAGTTTATTTTCTTGTCAGAATTCAAATTCCCTTTTCCCCTTTTAGTAGCACAGGGTTCTCACTGGTGTTGTCTAGCATAGAAAAATGTTCCCCAGAAGACTTCTAGATCCTTCATCTGGGACTGGATACGGGATACACTCACTTTAAGAAACAAAAATGGTTGGGGCGCCTGGGTGGCTCAGTCATTGAGTGTCCACCTTCGGCTCAGGTCATGATCCCAGGGTCCTGGGATCGAGCCCCGCACTGGGCTCCCTCTTTAGTGGGAGGCCTGCTTTTCCCTTTCCCATTCCCCTAGCTCGTGCTCTCTCTCTCTCTCTCTCTCACTGTGTCTTTCTGTCAAATAAATAAAATCTTAAAAAAAAAAAAAGAAACAAACAAAAATGGCAGGGCACCTGGGTGGCTCAGTTGGTTGAGCATCTAGCTCTTGATTTTGGCTCAGGTCATGATCTTAGGGTCATGGGATCAAACCCTGTGTCAGGCTCTGCACTCAGAGGGGCATCTGCTTTTCTCCCTCTTCCTCTGCCCCACTCACTCTGACTCTCTATCTAAAATAAATAAACAAATCTTTAAAAAGAAAAGAAACAAAAATGGCATCACTCCATTCGAGTGGGAAGATAGGACTTTTATCATCTATATTATTTGGGAGTCTTTTGGCTTCTAGTGAAAGAAATTGAACTCAAAATATCGTAAGCATAGTAACAAATTTATTAGCCCAAATAACTAAAAATGTGGGGATGTACACCCAGCTTAAGGTAGTGCTGGGTCCAGAGACATTTCATCATTAGGGCTGGAATCCTTTCCATCTCTCAGCTCTGTTTTCCTTTGTGTTGGCTTCACTCCCAAGCCCCATGTGATATTCCCCACAGCTCTTGGATCACACAGTCCTTCCTGCTAGCAGCCCCCCTGCCAAAAGAGAAGTTCTCCTCACAGTCTTCCAGAACACATCCTGGGTGGGCCTGACTTTCATTTGATTTCACTGGGGCTCATGCTTCTTCCTGAACAAAACACTAAGACCTGAGTGATGAGATAAGCTCATCGGTGGACCTAGAGCCAGAAGTGAGATTACCCCAACTCAAACCACATGGACTGAGCAAGGCGGATGAATTGTTCTCCAAAGGAAACTCAGAGATGTCTCCAGGAAAAGAGGGAATAGATGTTGATAGAAGAAAAGAAAACATGACCGCTACAACATTGCTTTTGGCAAAAAGTCTATGTACTTAGGGGACAGCACAAGACTCATTTCATATTGATTTCTCCTAAGTTGCCTAGAAGTGATAGTATTGACAACAAAAGGATGTGTTGGTTCCTTTTAAGGTTCCTTTTTCCCTCACTCTTGCCACATTCTTAGAGAAATGCCCATCCGCCTACAGAGGTGGGCCTCTAAGGCCATATTTCTTTATGTGTTTCCATTCGGAGTGGACGAGGCATGAGGACACCTGACCCACAGAAGCTAATTATTACCAATCTGGTGGCCAGTGAAATTCTTCCTGGGGAATCCACTGAGGCTGAGAGAGGTTTTGATTTTACTTACATTAATTTGAGTTGGTTTCTGACTTCACCAAGATGAATTCCGGTCACAGGATTCCGGTAGCACTGAGGCTAGGCAATTCTGCTTATCTTGACTGGTCTTGCTATACAGGAAAATAACCTAGAAGGGATCGTGGGGATAAGAAATATTGGAAAGGTAGGAAACATTGAGCTTTTAGATAGGGTAGCTGGGGGGAGTTCTAACCGATAGGGTAACAATAAAGCAAAGACTGGAAAGAGGCAAGGGGATGATTCACGTGATTATCTGGGTGCACCTGTGTGTGTGTGTGTGTGTGTGTGTGTGTGTGTGTGTGTGAAGAGTGGTGCTGGCAGACTGAACAGTGGTAACAAACCCTGAGGCAGGAGTGTGTCATCATATCCAAGGAAAAACACAGAGGCCAAAGAGAAAGAAGCAGAATGCGTCAGAGCGGTGGGAGATGAGAAAGGGTGATAACAGGGGTCAGACATGGAGGACCTTGTAGGTGACCACAGAGCTTGGGCTTTTGCTAAGGATGAAGCAAAAGAGCCACTGAAAAGGTTTAAACAGAGTGACATGATCTGACTCTAATTTAATGGCAACTCTTTGGCTGGTATATTGACCATAGGCCGTAGAGGGACTAATTAGGGGAATATGGCAATGGTCCAGGTGGGACATGGTAACAGACCAGCAACATGGTGGAAAGTTAGAAATGCAGATTCTCAAGCCCCACTCCATGCCTATAGAGGTAGAATCTGCATTTTAACACGATCCACAGTGCTTGTATGTATGTTAAAGTCTGAGAAGTTCTGTGTGCGAACAGAACCCTTCTTTCTCCCGGCCTGTTTCTTCCCTACTCTAAGGGACTGTGATCGAGGTGTCCCTATGGTCCCTTGTACTTGCAATTTTCTTTTCTTTCTTTTTTATTTTTTTAAGAATTTATTTATATATTTGAGTGAGGGAAAGAGAGAAAGAGAGAGGGAGGGAGAAGCAGACTCCCCAGGGAGCAGGGAGCCTGATGTGGAGCTCAATCCCAGGACCCTGAGACCATGACCGGGGCCAAAGGCAGACGCCCAACTGACTGAGCCACCCAGGCGCCCCCCAGTTGCAATTTTCTAAGCTCCTTTCTTACAACTATGCGTGTGAGTCATTATGAAAAGGCAGCAGAAGAGAACAAAGGATAAGCGACGTTTCTGCAAAGCCCCTGCTGCCCACAGCCGGAGGCAGCGGGCCCTGAAGCAGCTTCGTGATCCAGGTCAGTAGGGGCCCCGCGAGAAGAGACTGCTGGGATTTCTCCTGGTGCTGGGGTGGAAGGGCGCCCAATAGGACTGGAGTGGAAGGTGTCGGGCAGCAACAGGGCAGCAGGAGGCGCTGTGAAGTGCTGGTGGGTGGGGCCCAGACCCAGAGGAAATGCAGGGTGCTGGGTGGCCTCAGGGAGGCAGCAGGCTCTGCGCCGCGCCACCTCAAGACACAGTGCTGGACGCACCCGGGCGCAGAGCGACCTCACGGTGGCAGGAGGCGCTGCAGAGTCGCGGCTGGCAGATCCTGGGCCTCCTGGGGAATACACCTGGGCAGGTGGGGCCGGCCCCGAGGGGGCGGGGCTGGAGGGGCGGGGCCCAGGTCCCGCCCACAAGAACCCGAGGCTGCGACCGCGGCGGGATGCTCTCGCTCTACGCGGAGCAGAACAGAGCGCACACGGATCGCGCGCGCGCGAGCCCCAGACTCTTCGGAACTGAGCGAGGTGAGCCTAGAGCCAGGTCGGGTCGCACAAGTTTGGGGCTCCCAGGCACCGGAGCGGCGGCGGGCCCGGGTGGCTTCTCCGACACGGTCCCCGCGGTCGGCGCCGGAGCTGGCATCAGCCCGGGGCTGCCTCCCGGTGGCCGGGATGCTGGGACACCGTCCCAGGTCAATCCAGGTCCAGCCAGCTCTCTGGCGTCGTCTACGCCGTGGCCTGGGACACCGAGCTGGGGCGATAAGCATTTCTGAGCTACTCAGGAACAAGATCCAGGACTCCCGGAGTCCCGGGCTGCGCCTTGCCTTGTCTCTCCCGGCAGCCCCTGTTCAGCCCCCTTTCCTGGCATTGGTGATACTAGACCGCGATTGTTCCCTTTACCTTCTGGAATGTTTTCAACACTTGAATTGGGTTGGGTTCTCTCCAGCGGCTTCAGCCGACTGACTTCTGCCACAGCACCGTGTGCGGTCGCTCTGCGCAGGGTAGGCAGGGGCTGTGCAGTCGCCGGGGAGGAGCTCGGATCCCGCGCCTAGAACCTGAGACTTGGGGTCCCTTCCTGGGGCATGGGAGATAGGCGAGGTCGGGGGTGAGCCAGCGGGGCAGGTAGAGAATGGCCGTCAAGAGTGGCCCTGGAATTTGGAAAAAAAAAAAAAAAAATCCTTTGAGTCTTGCTATCTGTGTGGCTTTGGGCAAGTTATCTAATCACTCTGCACCTCAGTTTCCCTTCTCTGTGAAATGGGCACAGTACTTTACTTCATATAATTATGAGCATTAAATAGGTAATGTGTTAAAAGAGCTGCGTGGGATGGCTGGGAGAAGGAAAGGCTCAGTGTATGACAGCCGTTATTCTTGCTGTTGTTGCTATTGTTGTCATTATTATTACTATTTGAGGAGCAGCACAGCTAGTAGTTGAGTGTGGACTCCTGAGTTCAAATCCCAGCTCAGCCACTTTCTAGTGTGACCTTGGACAAACTAAACTTCTCAGGGTCTCCATTTCATTTGTATAATGGGGAGGATGAGGATGCCTACCTCAGAAATCTATTGTGGAAATGAACTGAAAAGTAAAGTACTGAAAAGTGAAGTAAAGTAAAGTACTCTAGAGAGTGAATGCTTGGTGTCAGCTCTGGGTTCTTCCCAAAGGCATCATGTTTTATCAAGTAGCACAACATAATAGTAACCACAACCTTGCTTTGCTTTGAAGTTGGAACACTGTTTTTGATAACATTTATCTGTTTTGTGATGAGCCAGATGGGTTCCCTTCTTTTGCCGGTGGTTTCACTGACACGGGTGGCTGATCCACTGGAGTCAAGGTCAGTCCTGGAGAAGGAGCTGATGGGGCAGAGGAACCCCAGGGATTGTCTTCAGTGAGGAGAGTTAGAGACAGGAGCACCCAGAATCTGTGATTCTAAACATTCCCACAGAAGAAAACCTTCCCTGGGTTGCAGTCTTATTTGACAGGAAATTAAACCTGGATCCAGATTTTAATTTTTAACTTTTAAAAAGATTTTCTTTATTTCTTTGTGTGTGAGAGAGTACAAATGAGGGGAGGGATGGAGGGACAAGCTCCCTGATGAGCATGGAGCCAAAGGCAGGGCTCAATCCCAGGACCCCGAGGTAATGACCTTAGCCAAAGGCAGATGCTTAACCAATTGAGCCACCCAGGCACCCCCGGACCCAGGTTTTTAAAACAAACAAACAAATGAACAAACTTGTTAACTTATTTGCTTTTGGATTGTAGAGAGAAAAGAGGTGGGGATGAGAAATATTTTCAATGATAAAATAAGTTACATTCCTCTTGCCAAGAGGCTAACAGCATAATTTTGAGGGTTGAGAAGGTTTTCTCCATCCCAGTAAGGTCATATGCATCTGGGAGGGGGCGCTGCTGGAGGGAGGTAGCTGCCTCTGGACATCTCTCCCTGGCCTCCCCCTCCCCCAGCACTCTTATTTCCTTTACACCATAAACCTGAAACCCACTAACATCATAAACTTGGAAGCCTCCCAGCTTTGCCCCCAGTTCTCAAATCTGGATAATATCCCATGGGGTGAGCGTGGAGAAAAAGTAACTCGTGCAGTCCAGAACCCTGCCCGAAGAACTTGATGGAGCAAAAGTCCTTGTCCCAGACACAGGCCCTCTGGGGGCATGGGGCCCACCCTCTATATCCTACTCCAAATTAAGCTCTACCCTACTTTGCCTCTGTCACCAATGGCAGGACAGGAGGCAGAGTTTCCGTATAACCCCCTCTCCCCCTTTACCAGGGCTCACCGCTGTCTGGAGGCAGTTACACTGACTGTCCAGAGTTTGGAAATGAAATAGCTCAGGATCCCCTCTTTTCCCCTCTTCCTTGGGGAGGGGGCAGCGCCCGGCACAACGCCAGGGCCCTCAGAAGCATATATGGTGGTGGAGAAGGCTGCAAGGTTCTAATCCAGTTCCTCCCCTTACCAGCAGTGTGGCCTTGTATGAACTACTCCACCTCTCTGAGCTTGTTGAAACACAAAATGAAATCTGTGTAGATTATATGTCTATTTATAGAGAGAGACCGTGTATATCTATGAGACTAGTGAGAGTTTATATATGATAACCATGAGAGGACTCTCCCTATATATAGACTATATATATATATATATATATATATATATATATGGCCTACAATACACGTGTATTAGTTTGTTTCTAGAAAGAATGTGGTTGCATGTTGTGAAGTTTCTGTAACTGCAGTGCATCGTGGACGTCGATGGATGTGGTAATTTGCTTTCCATCACTTTCCCCCAAACAAAGCTGTTATTGAATCAAAGCGTATTCCCCTAATTAGTGATCCCTTAGAATCAAGGAAATATGGCACAATGCCTGGCAAATATTAAGTGGCCAAGAGCTGTGGGCTATTGTTTAGAAGGTGTTCTAGAAACACCAAAAGCTTGACTGTAAAGAGAAGAGGTCAAGCAGAAATGAAACAGAAACTCCACTCGCAGGGAAAGCAGCAGGGGAAAGCCTGGAAAACACAGCTGGGAGCCGACGGAACAGGATCTAAGTTGGCTGTGGAGCCATTCTCTTGGTAGGTTTTATCTGTCAAAGAGAGTGCAGGGCACTTGCTCGGCTAGACGCTGAGAGAGACACCAGGGGCAGGAATGCTGCCCTCAAGGGGGCAGGTTGAGGGAAGTGATAAGGTGGGGGGGGTCTCTAAATGCGGGGGCACCGGTAAGAATGGTACAGAGGCCCATGTGCGGTGCAGAGAGCTCCTGCTCCAGGCACGCAGGAGAAAGGTTCTTCAAATCTGCTGGGTGATTCTCAGGTTAAACCCCACCCAGACCCCACAGGGGGTTGCAAGGGGAGGAGGCAGCCCTTTGGCAGCGGCCAAAAAAACCAAATACCCAGGAAAAGGGGCCTGGGACCTCAGAATGCAGATCTGTCCAGCCCCCGGAGGGAAAAAGGAGGACAGCCTCGGAGGGCGCACGTGTCACCCAGAGTCGGGCCTCCAGGCACCGCCCCGCCCATGGGGGGAGGCGGAGTGGGGGGGTCTCAAGCTGGGAGTTGGGAGCTCACCTGCTTTTCTTCTCTGCCTCTCTCCAGCGTGCCTGCCCCTCCACATCCCATTCTCGCCATGGCTCCTGGAGAGAAGATCAAAGCCAAAATCAAGAAGAATCTGCCGGTGAGGGGGCCCCAGGCGCCTACGATCAAAGAGCTGATGCGGTGGTACTGTCTGAACACCAACACCCACGGCTGTCGCCGCATCGTGGTGTCCCCCGGCCGCCTGCGGCGCCTGCTCTGGATTCTGTTCACGCTCACCGCCGTGGCCCTTATCTTCTGGCAGTGTGCTCTCCTCGTGGCCTCCTTCTACACCGTCTCTGTCTCCATCAAAGTCCATTTCCAGAAGCTGGATTTTCCTGCTGTCACCATCTGCAACATCAACCCTTACAAGTAAGAGGCAGGAGCAGAGCCCTGGGGGTGGGGGCCGCGCTCCCTCCAAAGGTCACAGCCCCTCTCCAAGGTACTAGGCGCCAGCCAGACCGCAGACATGCTTTTTAGAAATCTGAATTTTTGCCAAACTTGGTAAACTCCCTCTCCCGGGTTCTAAATCTGTACCAAGTTTTCTGTCTATCAGCTGCTCCTGAGGAGGGACTAGTTCAGGATGTACAGGAGGCAGGCAGGAGTCAGTTTCACTTGGAGGTTGGGCCTGGAATGGGCTAGGCCTGTCCCCCAGCCCGGTCACCTGAGTGCGAGGGCACACAGGAGCACACACAGCCCCATTTAGCCATTTCCCGGGAGCCCTGTAAGCTTACACCTCACTCTCCCCAAAATGTGAGCGGGAGGCTGACTCAGAAGTGACACCCAGATGACTTCCGGAAGCATCTCAGCTGCCCCAAACCCTCATCTGAGGGAACCCAACCCCACTAATTGAGATCACCAGGCTCTGCACAGGATCAACCCTTGGTCCTGCCCTATTGTCTGCCACAGGGCCTGCTCTTAAATGGGTGACTGGAATCCTGCTCAGGATTATTGAAAACTGATCTGTGAGGCAGGTCTGAATCTGGCAGAATTTGTCCGAGCAGGTGTGGGTGTGGAGAGAAGGGAGGAGCAGGGGAGGAAGAGTATCAAAGGAAACCAACTGGGCAAAATCAAAATCAGGTCTAAGACTCATTCTCTACCTTACAGTCTTTTGGTCCCTCCCTCTCTTCCATCTGTCACTTATTCCATAATCAGACAAGTGGCCATGCAGTGTGCTAGAGTCGAGGCCATGGACCTGAACATCCCAACAGTCTTTGTCCTAATGGAGTTGAGTTGTAGTGGAGAAGTGAAATATTAACAAATATAATTCCACTAATAAACTTAATAGTGAATGTTTGCACACACACACACACACACACACACACACACACACACGGGATAAACTCAGAATCTCAGCAACACTCCCATTTCACAGATGAGAAAGCTGAGACACAAGGACTAAAATAAATGGTCCAAGGTCACAAATCCAGGGCCAGGATGGGGAACTGGACCCCATGTAGTTTGGTTCTGGACTTCATACACTCGGTCACCATGCTGTGTCACCAAGTCAGAGAGCAAGGGGTAGAGAGAGGAGAGATGATGGCAGTTAGGAGGGAGACCAGGACTATCTGTGTTATGAAAATTTAAAGATGGTGTTGTGCTTCACACGGTCACGTCCTGTGTCATTCTTTTTGTTCTTGGGGGTTGTCAAGGTGACGGTTCTACCTCTTCCCCCTCCCAGCACTGATTCAAGGGGAATCTGTGGGCAGGGCCAAGTGAGCTCAGTGGATACAGAGCCTGTCCCCTGGACAGACCTCTGGTTAGCAGGTATTGTCTGCACTGTAATTGTCCTCCCCGTGGCTGGTTTATGGGAGGCACCTGATAGTCACCACTCCAGAAATGCTGGTTGGGGCAAACTCACCAACACACCCTGAGAGCAAGCAGATGGTAGTGGCAGAAATGCAGCCATAAGAAGTCACGCAAGGGTCACCCGGGAGCCTGTCACCGTTTACTTAAGCCAACAGTCACTTTGGATGGGGCAAATCGTAAAAGCCTTGGTCTCCTTGGCCAAGGAGGCAGGGAGGAGTGGGCCCAGGGCTGTCACACACTGACGGGAAGCGGAGGGGAGAAGGGCCAGCACTCTGTCGGGGGAGCTTGCCCTTTCCCTGAAGCCTCCTCCCCACCTTGGCAGGTACAGTGTGGTGCGGGACCTTCTAGCTGACCTGGAACAGGAGACCAGAGTGGCCTTGAAGACCCTGTATGGCTTTCCGGAGAATACGTCTCGAAGACGCCGAGAGGCAGAGTCCTGGAATTCGGATTGGGAGAGCACCCGGCCCAGATTCCTCAGAGTGGTCCCACTGATGGCTTTCCGTCAGGATGAGACCGGCGAGGTCAGGGACTTCCTCACGGGGCGGAAGCGGAAGTTCAGCGGGCGCATCATTCACAAGGCGTCAGATGCCATGCACGTCCACAGGTCTAAGGAGGTGGTGGGATTCCAACTGGTGAGATGCACGTCCTCACAGCCCAGGGGCATGGGAGCGGCCGGAGATGGTGGGTCCAGGAAGGTTTCTCCTTGGCCACTGTCTCTGTGGTCCTGTCCAAAGAAATACAACCAGCTCAGGGTGAATTTTCTGCAAGCAACGGAAACTGACTCAGGCAATACTAAGCAGAGAAAAAAAAAAAATGTCTTAGAAAGGGACCAGTAGCTCATGGAAGCCTCTCAAAGGACAGGAAGTAGCAAAGATCCGGAGATCTAGGTGGCAAGAAATGCTAGAGTCATTTCACATATGGCTCTGGATTAAATAAACTTCAATTATTTTCAGGCTTTTTGCTAATCCATCCATAAAGATGATTCAAGTCCCATCTTGGGACTCTGATTGGCCAAGTTTGGGTTGCCTAATGGCTAACAGAGGGTGAGGCATCATGGTGGACAGTCTCATCAGACTGTATCCAATAGGGGAAAGGACATTCCACCAAAACAAAAATTAGGGTGCAGACCCCTGAAGGAACAAAATAGATAACAAGGAGTGGAAATGGCCAATGATCCCTGTGGTACTTGCCTTTGTGAGGGGCCCTGAGGAAGAAACCTTTCACCAAAATCGAATTCCATTAGTGTCCCGGGCAAAGTCAACCCGTCACCCTATCTCTCCATGCCCCAGGCTCTTCTGTGGGATGAGATACCTCCTCTATAACTTAGAGAAGAGGCTTGCCAATTGAGAGACCCCTGGGCACCCTTACAATCCTGAAAAAATGGCCCTTTCTCTTTCTTTTTTTTTTTTTAAGGATTTTTAAATTTTTATTTATTTGACACAGAGAGAGAAAGTGAGAGAGGGAACACAAGCAGGGGGAGTGGGAGAGGGAGAAGCAGACCCTCCACTGAACAGAAAGCCTGATGTGGGGATCGATCCAAGGACCCTGGGGATCATGACCTGAGCCGAAGGCAGCCGCTTTAACAGCTGAGCCACCCAGGCGCCCCTGGCCCTTTCTCTTAATCACTGAGCCTTTTCAAAGTCTCCCTGGGTATTTTCCTGAGATACCCACCCCGTGATCCCTGAGAGCCAGATCAGGCATTTGAGAATTTCCAAGCTCTGTGTAACGAGAACATCTGAAACATACTACCGTCTCCCTATAAGGCTCTCATTATTTTATATTTCAAATGTTGGTCCTCCCACCTACTCTCTTAGGTTGGGAAGGATGATGTTTTAGCCAACATCTGGCAAGTGCAATAATGGAGCCGTAACGCCTTGCCCAAGATCCTGCAGAGAAATCATGCTGGAGTCTGGGCAAGCATCCAGATTTCTAGACTGCTGACCTAATAGGAAATGGCTAGAGGTGTGTGGGAGGTCAGTAGCAATAATCAGCCGTGGCCTCGCTATCTGGAGATGCTAAAGAAACTGGTTTTTCTTCTTATCTGGTAAGCAGTCACAGGAAGTCGTGACCGTGAGACTCTGTCCTGCTCTCAGCCCCTTCTTGGTCCTTGAGGCCAATCTCTCTCAGCCCCTGGAAGTAAGAGAAAGCCCATCCTTGCTTCAGGTGCCCTTCCCGCTCGCTCCGAGTGTCTGGTCTAGAGTCCCAGTTCCTCATCCTCACCGACCTGCGGAAGGCACATGCTGGTGCCGATGGCTTCAGCCCACTCTCGTCTCTTCTTCACAGTGCTCAAATGACACGTCCCACTGTGCCCTCTACACCTTCAGCTCAGGCGTCAATGCCATCCAGGAGTGGTACAAGCTCCACTACATGAACATCATGGCGCAGGTCCCTCTGGAGAAGAAGATCAACATGAGCTACTCTGCCGAGGAGCTGCTGGTCACCTGCCTGTTTGACGGGGTGTCTTGCGATGCCAGGTCAGGAAAGGGGTCCGCTCCCTCCGCTTTGAGCCCCGGGCCTGCACCTGTAGCTCCGCGGGGGCGGGCTTGGGAGTGGAAGACATTCTTCTCACTGTCCCTGTCCTTTGGAAAACAGCTGACGTGGGAGCCAGGCTCTAGAGTCAGTGAGGAAGATAGAGATGGCACAGAGTCAAAATATCCTTGAATTCATTAAATTACTCATAAACATTTTTTATTTTTTATACGTTATTTATTTATTTATTTATTTGACAGAGAGAGAGAGAGAGAGATCACAAGTAGGCAAAGAAGCAGGCAGAGAGAGAGAGAGAAGCAGGCTTCCTGCTGAGCAGAGAGCCTGATGCGGGACTCGATCTCAGGACCCTGGGATCATGACCTGAGCCGAAGTCAGAGGCTTAACCCAGCCACCCAGGCGCCCTTAAATTACTCATAAAAACAGAGTGGTTGATGGTCTATGTATAACCTTGGATGCTACCATCATACACACCAGTGATGGAGAATAACTGAGCTAGCACAGAGGAAGAAACAAAGGAAGGAAGGAAGGTAGCAAAGAGAGAGGAAGAAGTGTCTGTTCATGTCTTCTGCCCATTTTTTTATATGATTGTCTGTTTTGTGTGTGTTGAGTTTGAGGAGTTCTTTATAGATCCTGGATATCAACCTTTTGTCTGTACCGTCATTTGCGAATATCTTCTCCCATTCCATGGGTTGCCTCTTTGTTTTGTTGACTGTTTCCTTTGCTGTGCAGAAGCTTTTGATCTTGATGAAGTCCCAAAAGTTCATCTTCGCTTTTGTTTCCTTTGCCCCTGGAGACATATCTTTTTTTTTTTTTAGATTATTTATTTATTTATTTGACAGACAGAGATCACAAGTAGGCAGAGAGGCAGGCAGAGAGAGGAGAAAGCAGGCTCCCTGCTGAGCAGAGAGCCCGATGTGGGGCTCGATCCCAGGACCCTGGGATCATGACCTGAGCCGAAGGCAGAGGCTTTAACCCACTGAGCCACCCAGGTGCCCCTGGAGACATATCTTGAAAGAAGTTGCTGTGGCTGATATCGAAGAGGCTACTGCCTATGTACTCCTCTAAGATTCTGATGGATTCCTGTCTCACGTTGAGGTCTTTTATCCATTTTGAGTTTATCTTTGTGTACGGTGTAAGAGAATGGTTGAGTTTCATTCTTCTACATATAGCTGTCCAGTTTTCCCAACACCATTTATTAAAGAGACTGTCTTTTTTCCACTGTATATTTTTTCCTGTTTTGTCAAAGATTATTTGCCCATAGAGTTGAGGGTCCATATCTGGGCTCTCTACTCTGTTCCACTGGTCTAGGTGTCTGTTTTTATGCCAGTACCATGCTGTCTTGGTGATCACAGCCTTGTAGTAAAGCTTGAAACAAGGGGAGATGGAGAGGAGAAGGGAGTTGAGGGAAATTGGAAGGGGAGGTGAACCGTAAGAGACTATGGACTCTGAAAAACAATCTGAGGGTTTTGAAGGGGCAGGGGGTGGGAGGTTGGGGGAACCAGGTGGTAGATATTAGAGAGGGCACGAATTGCATGGAGCACTGGGTGTGGTGCAAAAAAAATGAATACTGTTACGCTGAAAAGAAATTAAAAAATAATAAAATAAAATTAAAAAAAAAAAGAGAGAGAGAGGAAGAAGGGTCTATGTCCGGATGGGTGAGCTCTCCCAGCTTTCTGCCTTGAAGTTAACACTCAGACCCCTGGTGGTGACTGAGCAGGGATGGGACATTCTAGAGTGTTCCTGCCTTTCCAGAAGGCTTACTTCATTCTATGTAAACACTAAGGCTTTCTATATGCAAGTAGCTATATTGGTCCTTTTGAAGCTGAGAGACTGGAATCATGTTCGCCTGAGGGTTGGGTTCTAAAGCCAACGGGTGATGTGCTTCCTTCTCCGGAGGTCATTTCCCGGTATTGGAATGGAAAAAAAGGTCAAGTGTTGGCTGAGAAATTCACAAGCTGAGGAATGCAAGAGCAGACAAATGGCACAAGGAGCGCAGCCTCGAGATGGAGACAGAGATGAGAGGATTGAGAGGGAGAACAGAGCAGAGAATAGTCCCACATCGGTGTGCCTCAGGCTGGGTGGTGGGCTTTGTCTGTGGCTTATCAGACCGAAAGGTGGAGAAAGTAAGACATTTTCCATTGCCCATAAAAGAGAGCTGGCTCCATAAGCACGGCCCATCCAGCCTTCAGCTCAGACGCTCGAGGGGCGGCCCCACCACAGCTCCTTCTGACCCATATTTTTCCTCATAGGAACTTCACGCTTTTCCACCATCCAATGTATGGGAATTGCTACACGTTCAACAACAGAGAGAACGAGACTATCCTCAGCACGTCCATGGGGGGCAGCGAATATGGTAAGGAAATTTGCACGAACGGTGAGCACACCGGCAGCGAGACAGCTGGGGTGCCCGAGCCTTCCAGAAAGGCTCCATCTGGCCAGAAACCAGGGACAGCACTTCCCCACCTTGCCACAGCGTTTCCATCAGCGTCCATGCTGGCGCCTTCTTTCTCAATGTCTATTTTCCTTTCTGATGTCTCCTCTTTACTTGCGAGAGAGAGAGAGAGAGAGAGAGAACAGCAGTGACATCACTGCGGTAAAACTGCTCTGGTTTGAGCTTGGAGCTGGAACGAGTAACGCAGTGCAGGCAGCTTTCAGATGGACTTGAACCCAGATATGCAGAGCAGGAGATGAGGGAGGCAAACACACCTTTACCTTGGTTGAGATAATGCAGTTCTGCACCTCACCATGTGGCCCCGTGCAAGTGACTGTACGTCATCTGCAAAGTGGGCATTGTAATAACATGCCTGCTCTAAGGCTATCGGGAGGACTTCCTGTGTGTAGCGCTCCCAGTAAGTCCCGGAACACACTGGATGAGTCTGCCCAGGCTGCGTAACAAAATATCACAAGCTGAGAGGCCTGAAAAGCACACATTCATGTTCTCTCGGTTCTGGAGGCAAGGGGCCCAGGGTCAAGATGCTGGTGAATCTGGTTTCTGGTGAGAGCTCTCTTCCTGGCTCGCAGATGGCTGCCTTCCTGCTGTGTCCTCACCTGGCCTTTCCTCCGTGGCAGAGAGAGAGGGAGTGCTGGTGTCTCCTCCTATTCCCATAAGGACACCAGTCCTAAGGGATCCTGGCTCGCCTTATGACTCCACTTAACCTTAATTACCTCCCTAAAGGCCCTACCCCCAATTCTGTCTCATTACGGGATAGGATTTCAACATACGGATTTAGAGGGAGGGGAACACACATGAAACACACAACAAATGCTGGTTGCGATCGTCATTCCTACTGTTGGTAATGTTATGACTATTACCACCAGCCCCGGTAATACCATGATGACCTCTAGCCCTGCCACCAACCCCGCTCAGCTACTGTGACTGCTGAAGGGCAGGCAGGGACAGATGGGCCTGGCTTACCCGCAAGAGGAATTTGTGCGAAGTCCTAAGCAAATCGAACATGATGTGATACACAGATGCACTCCCACAAGGAAAGGCAAGGCTCTGTCATGGAGGAAAACAGTGTGTGGACGCCTGGCCTTTGCGTCTGTGTGGTGTGTATTCTTACCAAGACTGCAAGAAACTGTCACTCAGGACACGTACTCTGGTGGGAAGGAGGAGTCTGGGAACTGGGAGCTAAGAGTTGCAGAGTCCTGGCTCTGCTACCTATGTGCTGTGTGACCTTGAGAAAATCACTTGACTGCTCTGGGCTTCAGTTCCTTTATTTGCAAATGGAAGAAGTCAGAATGAACTCTCAAAGTTTTCTTTTTCCTTTCTTTTCTTTCGTCCTTTTTTTTTTTAAGATTTTGCTTATTAAAAAAAAAGATTTTGTTTATTCATTTGAGGGAGAGAGAGAGCACAAGCAGGGGGAGCAGCAGAGGGAGAGAGAGAAGCAGGCTCCCTGCTGAGCAGGGAGCCCGATGCGGGGCTCGATTCCAGGACCCTGAGATCATGACCTGAGCTGAAGGCAGACGCTTAACCACCTGAGCCACCCAGGCGCCCCCTGAACTCTCAAAGTTTTCTATTTTCAATCCATATAGGTCCTGCTCATTTTCTCATTCACCAAACATTTATTGAGTACCTGCTGTATGCTAGGTCCTTTTCCAGGCGTCAGAGACACTGCAGTGTCTCTGCTTCCAGGGAGCTTGAATTACAGTGGGTAGAGACAAAGAACAAATGAATGAACAAACACAGAGATATTTTCTGCTTATAAATCCTAATGAGGGCAATAAGGAAAATCAAGGAATGAAAGGGAAGGGGGTGCTGGGGTCAGGATGGGGGTTTTATTTCAAATAAGGAGGCATGTGTGACAAGAGTTGGTCAGGGGTGAGAAGATGCATAGAAGAGCATTTGGGGCACTAACAAGTACGAAAACCCTGAGGAAATGAATTTGATGTGCTCTAGAAGCTCTAGAAGTCCAGTGTGCCAGGAGCCTCTTGAGAGAGCAGGGAGGGGGGATGAGGGGGGAAACAGAGGCAGGGCTGATCACTGTGGGCGTGACAGCCACAGTCAGGTTTATGGGATTTTATTCCATGGGATTCCCATGTATCCAATGAGATGCCACTGAAGGGTTTCAGGCAAGGGAGTGACCTGATCTGATTTCCAATTTTACTTTTTCAAAAATTTGAAAAGATTTATTTATCTGTCTGAGAGAGAGAGAGGCAGAAGGGCAGAGGGAGAGAAAGTCTCAAGCAGACTCCATGCTGAGCTCAGAGCCCAACGCCGGGCTCGATCTCCTGACCCTGAGATCATGACCAGAGCCGAAACCAAGAGTCAGATGCCCAACTGACTGTGCCATCCAATTTTCCAAGATCCCTCCGGCTGCTGGGTGCAAGGGTGGGAACTAGAGTAGGGAGAGAAGTTAGACCAGTGATCAGATAGCCCATTAGTGCTTTTCTATAAGGATTTCAGCAGCCACAGCCCTGCACGTCCCTTTGGATACTGTGCAGAATGCCCCATCTCAAAGGACCACGAGGAGCTGCACATCTCGGGCAGGGTCGCAGCTCCTTTACTGCTCAGCAGAATTGTGGCAGTGACACTGTTTGGGGGGACACAGCAGTGAGCAAGTTGGGCACCAGCCCTCCACCCCGTCTTCTCCATGAAGCTTCCGGTCTAGCCTTGTGCACCTTCTATGTGTTGAAAATGCCTGCATCTTGATTTGGAGCCTCCCAAAGCAGCTGGAGAGGTAGGCTCCCGCTGGGGAACGTTTACCAAGCCTTTGAACACAGTGGCCTTTTGTCTTCCTAGGGCTTCAGGTCATCTTGTACATAAACGAAGAGGAGTACAACCCCTTCCTGGTGTCCTCCAGTGGGGCTAAGGTGATTGTCCACCGACAGGATGAATACCCCTTCGTCGAGGATGTGGGGACAGAGATCGAGCCTGCCATGGCCACTTCCATAGGGATGCACCTGGTAAGAGAATGATGTTCTGACTTCTGTAAGGGTGGCAAGGAGAACAGATCTCTTTTCCCAAGGATAACCAATAAGGTACAGCTTATGCAAAAGTGTGCTGGTTTCAAGAGGAAGCAGAGTCCTGGATTTGCTAATAGGTCCCACAGTCGTCATTCCAGCAGTTCTCCTGAAGGCTGTTTTTGTATCTCCTGCATGGTTAACGAGGCCACAGGATGCCATTCTGGGAAAGAACTGAAGGAACCTTGCTTGTTGTAAAGACAGACACTAGCAGTTATGGAAACTGTGCCGGGAGCAAAGCATCAGACACTATATTTGTCACTCATATAAATAGAGCAGATGAACACCTTTCTTTCTGGGCCTAACTGTGTATGAGGCGTGTAAACCACTCCTTAATGGCCAATGGGAAGTCACTGGGCCATCGGAGCTCTGTTTAGCCAATCATACTTCCATCAGTTTCACCTCATTCATCAAGAACCTCCTTCTCCCTCAACTCTTTGACATTCTCTGACCTCAGTGGGTGCCCAAAACACTCATAACCTGTCAACAGACGAAGCACATCGGGGCTGTAGACTCAAATCCCTGAGTCAATGATGCCCAATAGGAACAGAAGGGCAAGGCGAGGGGCGTGCCCTGGACAATCCACTAATGCAGACTTCCTGTTTGAAGGACTGAGGTCTTTTTACGACAGTAACTCTCCACCTTTTGTCTTCATCCCTTGCAAATCTGTCCTCCAGAGCCATGGTTTCCAAACATGATCGATTGTCCGACTCAGATCCACTGAATCAGAATCTCTGAGAGACGAGCCCAGGTTCTGTGTTTTTACCAAAAATCTGATTGTTCAATTTTCAATTGTTCAAGTGACTATTCAAGATGCAGAAAACCCAGGAACCTCAGCTTCAGAAAGCTGAGTAGTTCAACATGAGAAGAGAAGTAAAGTGTGTCTCCCTAAGGGAAGGTAAAGCTAGAATGAGAAAAGCTTTAGCCCAGCCATAAATGACGGCTTCGTACTGGGTTATAAAGTGGTATAGTGAGCATGGGGCTCACCATCCATTATTTATCCACTCAACAAGCATTTTCTGAGCTTCTTCATGTGCTGGACGCTGGGACTATGTCAGAGCGTAAGACACTCACTGTCTTGTCGGAGCTTAGAGTCTAGCAGAGAGGATCGATCACAAACAAAAAATTGCACAAGTGATTAATTATAATCATCATCTGTGCTACCAAGGAGAAATGCAGGATGCAGGAGAATCTATCGTGGGGCTGGCTGACCTAGGGCTTCCAATGGGGGGAAATGGCAAGTTTAAGGAGTGCTTTCCAAAGGAAATAATATTTAAGTGGAGACAGCTGAGACGATGAACTGAGTGCATGGTGACAGTCCAGAGGAGATCTTTGGCTTCTGTGTCCCCATCAAGTGGGACAATCCTAGACAAGAGAAACAATCAAGATGGTTACCTGGAACCTGGAGGCTCTCGGGAGGCACATTCCAATGTGGGAGGTTTGTTTCAAGATGGGAAGTGTTGTGTACCAACCTGGATTGTGGGAATACAGATTGCTCCTCCCCCCACAAATAATCTTGAGCCCCAAGCTATGAAACTGCGCTTGGAAAGACTTTAGGGTACCACTTAAGGATCTGGGTCATTGATTGTTCTCTTCACCAAGATTGCAAAACTCTCAAATCAGAATAGTGAACATTTTCACCCAACATTGCCCACACAGTTTTACCTCCGCCTTGAACAAGGACTTGGGATTTGCAGTACATCCTATCCTTTAAGAAATTTTTATTACCTATCCTTTTGCCCTCTCGTTCCTTTCTACCCCTTACAGTGTCTGCAGGCTTGGGGGAGAGGATCAAGAGCTTGGAGAAGAATAAGAACTGAGGAATTCTGTCCTGATTTCCTTCTCTGAGCTTAGAAACACCCACCACTTTGTTAAGCAAACATTTTCTTAAATAACAGTGGGTAAACAAAGACAGGGGTGGGTTTTCTGCTATACCTAATTTGAGATGTAGAAAACCAAAGTGACAGAACAGGGTCAGTCAGCTCTCCTTCTGATTTACGAGCATTTGGAACAACAAAAAGTAATCTTAGGGATTATTAAGAGGTCAACACGGGGTTACTAAGAATAAGTCCAAACAAACTAGACTTCCTTCCTTCCTTATTTATTTTCTGTTTACTTATTTTTCTCAATAGGCATGTTAAGCTGGTAGACGCAATCAGTTGGTTAAAAATTTTCCTTCATTTAGTGAGGGACTGTGTGTCCAAGGCACTGGAAATTCAGAGATGAATACAACAGAACACCTGCCTTTAGAGATCTTATCTTTAAGACCACAGGACTTGCAATACAGTGTGACCAGCTCCGTGGGAACAGAGACATTCTGACTCATTACCAGGCTCAGTTCTTAGAACATAGTAGATGCTCTGTAACTACTGTTGGATGGGTGGATGGATGTATGGACGGTTGTACAGATGGTGGGGAGCTGCTGAAGCTGGAGGCTTCCTAGCTGATAGATCCTTGAAGGACAAGTGTCAGGTAAGTAGTTTCAGGAAGGGCTAATGAAAGCAAAGGGCAAAGCAGTGATAAAGGGGTCACAGGAAGTATTTTAAGCTGAATAGTGAAACTTTCTGAGAAATCTCTTTGGTTGAAGTGTAGTCAAGATAAAGTAATCGAAATACTGGAGGCAGCATCTTTTTTTTTTTTTAAAGATTTTATTTATTTATTTGAGAGAGAGACAGTGAGAGAGAACATGAGCGAGGAGAAGGTCAGAGGGGGAAGCAGACTCCCCATGGAGCTGGGAGCCCGATGCAGGACTCGATCCCAGGACTCCGGGATCATGACCTGAGCCAAAGGCAGTCGTCCAACCAACTGAGCCACCCAGGCGTCCCTGGAGGCAGCGTCTTTACATAATTCCAGAAAGAGGTGGTAAGGTCCTTAGCTGAGGCAGTGGCTATAGGGACAAGCATAAATGAATGGAGGCATAGAGGCAACAGGGCTTGACAGCCAAGGTCAGCAAGGAAAGGCCTCACTAAGAGGGAAGTTAGATTGATGTTTAGGTTTTGGCTTGGGCAGTGGGAGGGGATGGAGGTGCCGGGCTCAGAATTAGGGAATGCAAGAGAAAGGGATAAGTTTGTGGGGGAAGATGACCCCTTCCGTTTGGGACATACCCAAGTTGTTGGGCCTTTGGGGAATCGGGGTGAAAATGTCCAGAAATGCTATGAACCCGGAGCTCAGGAGAAAAATGGAGGTGGGGGTTGGGGTGGGCATCTAGCATAACTCTAGACTTGGAAATAAATGCTGTCACCCAAGAGCCGAGACAGAATGTAAATGTGTAAGGGCTGAGCAGAAAGAAAATGGAGAAATAGAAGCAGAGAATGAGAAGCAGAAGCCAGAAAGAATGGGTGCCAGATAAATCAAAGAAGAGAGTTTCAAGGAAAGTGTGAACCAACATGCCAAATGCAGCTGAGAGGTCAGTCAAGAGAAAGGGCAAAAGGTGCTGTATGGGTTTGGCAACCAAGAGATCACCGTCGGGTTTTGCCACAGCAGTTTTCAGCAGAAGAAGTGGAACAGAAACCAAAGTACAACGAGCCGGATCATGAATGGGAGATGAGGAAGTGGGCAAGGGCAGACAGCTCACCCAGGGTGGTGTGCAGCCGGGTCTTGGAGAGAGCGCGGACTTCACTACTACTGCAAACCCTACTGTTCGTTTTTATCTCAAAACGCACACACACCTCTTTTCGCAAGCATATGCATAACAGGGCTTAAATGCCCAGCTTTGAACAATGGTTGTGTAATCTCAATGTCTTAGTTACCTCATCTGTGAAATGGGGATGATAATAATAATGTGACTTTATAGGCTAATGAAAATTCAATGAGTTGGTTCACATGAAGCGCTTGGAAGAGTGCTTCGTATATAGTAAGCGTTCCAAAAATACCGGCTGTCACTATACTTTTTTATTTTTAAGAAAAGAAATGTGACAGAAAGGAAAAATAAGTTTGAAGCGAAAAGAGTGCTTAGGAAAGTTTTTCTTATCCTTGGTGACACTTTCCTTCTTTATGAGACCTTGCTTTCTTCCATATATGTAGAAAAAGTGCTAGTTGTTTGCCGTATGTGTTGCAAATACCTTTCCCAGTTTGTGCTTTCCTTTCACTTTTCTTTATGCTCCCATTTCACATGCAAACATTTCAAATGTTTACATAGTCAAAATCTTTGTCTTCTTCTTTAGTCTTTATGCTTTTTGAGGCTTTTTCTTCCTTGAGATCATATACTGAACTGAGTTACCTTCCAGTTATTTTATTATTTCAATTAATACTTTAATCCACTGGAATGTTTTTTCTGCAGGACGTGAAGTAGAGATAGAATTCACTACTTCCTCCAAAGAGTCAACAGTAGTCCTAACTTCATATATTGAGTCATTATTTTTCTTTTCTCCATTGATTAAAAGTATAAACTTTGCCATGCACAAATAAATCTTATAATTTATTACAATATAAAAACAGGACAGAAGGAAAAAGAGAGTTAAACCACCCATAATTCCATCTAGGACATCATGCTGCCATCTGGCCTTTTCCCTGGCACAGCTCATAACTATAAAGCAGTGAGTGGGGGGGGGGGCACCTGGGTGGCCCAGACAGTTAAATGTCTGACTTTGGCTCAGGTCATGATCTCAGGGTCCTGGAATCGACCCCGCTGAGCGGGGAGTCTGCTTGTCCCTCTGCCACCCACGCCCTCATGCTCTCTTTCTTTCTCTCTCTCAAATAAATTAATGAAATCTAAGAAGCTGAGGATTCCTGTGCAAATGCCGGCCTACCCCAGGATTCTAAGAAGGAAGCAGATAAGATCTGGTTTGATAAAAATGGGCCCGGTTGCCCACACATATACTCACAGAGACTTAATCATGCCTACATACACCCATGCGTGCATGCACACACACACATCTCACACGTACACATGTATGCACCGACACACAGGTGGGCTCACACAGATATACACAAAACTTGCATCTGTTCACATACATATATACCCATTCTCATTTCTGTGTCCCCAGGGGTCAGGGACAGATCAGCAATTCTGAAAAACTGATGGTGGAGGGGAGAGAGAAGGGGAAGGAGGGCGGGAGGGAGAGAAAAAGAATGAGCCAGAGAGGGAGGGCTGGAGTGCCCGCCCCACCCGCCTCCCCTCCCCACCCCACCCTCCGTGCTTTAGGAAGCAACCTGAATACCCCATGGGCTCTGAGTTCAATAAGCTCCTTGCAGTGAACTCAAAAGCATGAAAGTCAAAAGATGATTTCTCACGATCAGTTTTCTGCAAGTGGCCCATGGGCTGGTCCTCAAAGTAGACAGAGCTTTGGCCACCTTTGCCAGCTGCGGCCTCTCCAAGTAGACAGACCCTGTCACTTAGATGTCAGGGTCTTGTACTCCCTGCCCCATGCCCGCCCCAGGCAGGTAGAGCCTGTAGTCACTGCCACACACTGGGCTCTGGGACAGCTCGGCAGGACTCGGGGGCTTGAAGGAACATCTGCCCAGCGAGCCTGAAGCTTGGGGGAAGCTCAGGGTGGCACTGAGTTGAAGTGCCCTCCAGGGAAGCCACAGTCAGCACCTTCGCACCCCAGAGCCCAGCCTACCCTGGCATGTTCTAGAGACTCTAAATTTGTTAGCCATCCAGCTAGTGGAGAAATGAAATAAGTCTGTTTATTCTGTACCGACAAGGAAAGATACTCCCTCTATTGTTAGTGAGAAGGCAAAGGGAATGTATGAGAACGTATCTGCCTGTCCACTTGTCTCTGTATCTGAGATCAGGTCTACTCCTCTCCTAGGAAAGACAGGAGACCACACGGTTGCTTTCCCCTTTGCTTCTGTTGCTTAAATGTTTTAAAATGGGCACCGGTCATCGCCCTTGAGGTCCCTGCAGTTAATCGAGGGAGACAGAAGGAGATTACAGTTACTTGAGATGTCTACATTTTCCACCTAGCTCAAACTCCTTGATTCCACCCCCCCCCGCCCCCCCGCTAATTATCTTTCTGCCTATCTGGTCACTCTGGAGCAGAAAAAAAAAGATTTTCTTTCCTTCAACAAATCTGCCATCAATTTCCCCTTTTCTCCCATTCTCAGAAAACAAAACAAAACAAAAACAAACAAACAAAAACCAAGGAACGTGGCTATAAACTGGTCACAATTAATATTCAATTAGCATTGCCCCTTGGGAGACATTCTTCTTCTTCTTCTTCTTTTTTTTTTTTAATTGGCGTGTCTGGATTGTTCATTTGCAGTGACAAATATTAAGCTAGAGCCAAACTTAGTAAACCACGGTAAAATAGTATTTCATAAGGTTTTTTTTTTTTTAAGATTTATTTATTTGACAGAGAGAGATCACAAGTAGGCAGAGAGGCAGGCAGAGAGAGAAGAGGAAGCAGGCTCCCTGCCAAGCAGAGAGCCTGATGTGGGACTCGATTCCAGGACCCTGAAATCATGACCTGAGCCGAAGGCAGAGGCTTAACCCACTGAGCCATCCAGATGCCCTTCATAAGGTTTTTGAACTGTGAGTCACGATTCTCTCACCTCCTGTGATCAGGGTATCATTCCATTCTATGAGGCATTCCTTGGCCCTCTCTAAGAAAGTCAATTTTTCCAAGTCAGCTTCTGGGACCAGAACACAAGAGGATAGGAAATGGGTCCTTCCCTAGGAGGAGAATCCCACAAAGCCGACAGCCACTGCTCGTCTTTTTTCCCTCTCCTGCGCCCTCCCAGTGGATTCTCTAATGGCTTTTTTTTTGAAATCCAAATCCAAATCCAGATTTCTCAGCCCGACATAGGAGGCTGCCATGACTTGGCCTTGGCCTCCCCCTCTGGCTTCATCTTTCTCATGTTGCCTTCCAGCCACCCTGGTCCTACCCTCCGTCAGCCTTTGCTGTTGTTTCTGCCTTATCCCCTTCCTCCACTTCTTAGCAAATCCAGCTCTTTCCTGCCGTTCTTTGCTGAGCCAGCATGTCCCTTTCTCAAAGGTGTCTTCCTCAATCACTCTGGGGAAGACTGTGCCCCTCCCCCCAAGCCCTCCAGTCCCTCTTCCCAGTTCGATCACTGGCCGTAATTATCCAAAATTATCTTATGCATTTATTTGCCTTTTGGCTGTCTGTCTACCCCACTGGAAAGTCAGCTCCACGAGAGCAGGGATCTTGTCTCTGCGGATCGTTGTTGAGTCCACAGTGCCTAGAATAGCCCCAGGCACCTCTCAGGTGCTCAAGAAATATTTGTTAAATGAATGACTAAATGCTCAGCTCCCAGGGGTTCCCCCACCTGGGTCCTGGGGCAGGGTAAGACTGACTGAATGTGTGCTGCTGTGATTCCAGACGGAGTCCTTCAAGCTGAGCGAACCCTACAGCCAGTGCACGGAGGACGGGAGCGACGTGCCCATCAGTAATATCTACAACGCGGCATATTCCCTCCAGGTATGGGCGGGAGGGGGCACACAGCCCTGGGCTGTGGCTTGGACACAGGAGACAGTTATCTATAGGCTGGGGTGTGTCCGGGACCAGGAACTCTGGTGATAATTCCTGGGGTTCGTCCAAAGACCTCAAGAACAAACAACACCAGTTGGTTCCAGTCCTCTTCAATCCGTCCCTAACCAGAGCTGAATTGATTGAGGTTTGCGTGGAACACAATGTGTAGCCGAGAACAGGCCTGCTTCCTAAATAGGCCTTGGCAGGTGAGGGACGGGAGAGAAGCAGTCTGGGAGAGGTGTTGGCTGAGAGGTCAGGAGCCTGGTTTCTGGGCCCCTCATGCCCCTCGTTCGCTGATGTCCTCGGACAAGTGATGTCGTTGTCGGCAATCACCGGGGGAGGTAGGTTTGGGTCTGGGGCTATGAACTGGCAGCTCCCAGGCCCCTTCCAGGCCGCACACCTAGTTTTCTTCTGGCCTGGGTGGTGTTTAAAAGTCAGGGAATTTCATAAGAAAACCCAGATTTCCAGCTTCTCTTGAAAAACAAGATCTGGCAACATCAGGCCCATAGCCTTGCAGTGTAAACAGTGGGCGGAGCTGCCCCCCCTTTCAAGGACGCACGTGTTCTCATTCCCCCTAGTCCCCACCAGCCCCTAGTGTATTACCTCTGTCATTGGCCCCTGAAAGCATTTGGGCTTGCGATCCCTGAGTGCGATCATCCGTTATGCCTTCTCTTACAATTCTGGGAGTCCGTAGTCCCCCTCCTCCTGGGATGCTCACAGTTAATGAAAATCACCCCCAGGAGAATAAAAAAGAGTGGGTATTCCTACGTCCTGAGTCCTCTAGCTTACCTCGGAGCTGAGCGTTGGTCGTAATGCTAAGTGAAAAGAGACTGTTAGTCAAAGAATGTCTACTTATAATAGAAATACAATCAAACTGACTTCAAGACCAAAAGGAAAGGTCAACTCATTGGAAAGACACTCCTGGATAATATTTAGTGAGAGGCTACCATGTACCAACGCCTTACATATGGCAATGCGTTTCGTGCTCACAACAACCTCTTGAAGTAGGTACTGCTGTACTTACTTCAACAGTGAGGAAACCAGAGCATCAGAGAAGTTAAGGAACTTGCCTGAGGTCACACAGCTGGGGTGTGGCAAATCTGGGATTTGGACAGGAGTAGCCTGCCTGCAGAGTCCTCCCCCTGAGCTTGTGGGCTATAAGCTCTGTTGACACGCTGGGAGTTTATGATCCCTAAGGATCCAGCGTGGAAGGACTGGATTCCTTCCATCCATGGAAGGATGAGAACAGAAAAGTAAGGGACTCTGTTTCTTGGCTTCTGCTCTGATCTGATGTCCCCCACTCCCTTGTGTCAGCACTCAAGTGACTGAGAAAGGACCACCCCAGACCCGGCCCCAGCTCAGCCTGTTCTCCCACCTCTCGGTTAATCTGAACGCTCACTTTTCTACCTCGGTCCCTTTGACTCCAGGGCCACCCCTGGCCTGGTCCCCTGTGCCACAAGGGGCACAATTATGCGGTCCGCCAAGGCTGCGGGAAGCCGGGCCCCTGGATGCGGGTTGTGCAGGGAGGAAGCTCTAGGGCGTCCATGTGCAAGGAGGTGAAGGGAACCCCTGGGTCTTGTCTTTCAGATCTGCCTTCACTCGTGCTTCCAGACGAAGATGGTGGAGAAATGCGGGTGCGCACAGTACAACCAGCCTCTGCCTCCAGCAGCCAACTACTGCAACTACCAGCAGCACCCCAACTGGAGTGAGTGAGACCCGCCGCCGCAGGAGGGGGGGTCCCCCCAGCCTCGGCACCAGCCTGTGTAGGGCCTTTTGCAGGTGGGAGGTACTGAGAGAGAGATCAGAAGCAGGGTTTTACTCCTGTCCTCAAGCCTGGCTTGAATTCCACTCTCTGATTAAAGACCAACGGTGGAACCCCAGCCTATGCTGAGAGGCTGGCCACCTGTCAGCTCCAAGAGGCAGGAACCACAGATGGCACCCTTTCATAGAACAGATAACTGAGGCTCAGGGTGGTTAAGCAACTTGTCCAAGGTCACACAGCCAGGGAGTAACAGAGTGAGACTCAAAGCCAGTACTGCTGACCCGGCAACATACGTCTTTAACCTCCAAGGTATTCTGTCTCTCGACATGGCAGAGCAGCGTTTGTCTCCAGAGAACCAGTGTTTGTAGCAAAGGGGAGGAGAAATCACTACAAGGAGACTCTGAGGGCCCCACGGGGGACCCCCCTGGAAAAGTGCGGTGGCCCCGAAGCTCATACTGCTCTCTGCCTTGTCCCCCAGTGTACTGCTATTACGAGCTGCACCAAGCCTTTGTCCGGGAGGAGCTGGGCTGCCAGGCCGTGTGCAGGGAAGCCTGCAGGTGAGTGGGCCTGGCAGGACCGAGCACCCAGGGCTGGGCCGGGCTGGGCCGCCCACACTCACTCTGTGGCCCTTCCCCCTTAGCTTTAAGGAGTGGACACTGACCACCAGTCTGGCACAGTGGCCATCCGTGGTTTCCGAGGTAAGTTATGCTGCCCTGTCTTTACCCTCACATCCTCAGCCCGGAGCCTGATGTCCTGCCTAGGTCCTCTGGCCTCGGGTGGTGGGGGAGGGGAATGCACAGGGGGGGCTTAGAGGGGAGGCACAGGGGCTGGCCCTGGGCTCTCTAGACATCCCCAGATCCCCAGGTCATTCCTTCTTTCTCTATCACAGAAATGGTTGCTACCCGTTCTCACTTGGGACCAAGGCCAGCAAATAAAGAAAAAACTCAACAAGTAAGCAGACCCCCACCCTGTTTCTTCTGCCTCTGCTGGCCCTGGGCCCCAGCCTCCCCACCTGCTTCCTCACTGCCAAACCCTCTCTTGTTCATTCACTCGTTCTTTTATTCAACAACTATCGATCACACTCGTGTCCAGAGCCAGGCCCTGCGCTAGGCCTGGGCTCTCAAAAGCTTTGACCAGAACCCGCAGTATGAAGATGGTTTTCCACCGAATATATATATGAGATAAAAGTCTCATGGAACAGCACTTACTTATGATTTGCCAAGCACTCGGGCTGATCTTCAGGCACTGCAAGCTGGTGTAGCCAACCCAGCTGTTTATATCCATCCCAGTGACCATGGCACCATTCGGAATGATTAGTGCTCATATCAGTTGACAAAGAGTTTGAACATCTCTGTGGCTGCGATTGGTATTTCTTATCCTATTTTGCTTTGTCAAAGGCACTGGTCATGGCCTAGGAAATTGATTTCATGGCTTCCTGACATATCTTGACCCAGCTGGAAAAACACTTCTCCGAACTATGCAGCTCCTGATCCCACTTAAATTTTCCATGTCAACATTCACTTCCAAGAGAGCTTTAGCAAAAATCAGCCAGGCCAGAGTTCAGGGAGCCCAGGGGATGGAGACAAAGGTGTGAGATAGGGTGTATGTGACCCCGAATCTCTCTGGGCCCTTCTCATCTCCACAGGGCCCAGTACCGGGCCTGGCCCCCGTGGAGGTCAGGCTAGCCTCCAACATTTACTGAATATCCACTAGGTGCCAGGTGCTGTGTGCGGTGTTGGGGGTGACAAGATGACCGAGCAGACAGGGTGCTTACGGTCTAGCCATAAAGATAGACTTTAGCCAAGCCACTGCAGACTCTCAAGCCAAGCATTGCAAGCCACTGACCCCTAGACCAAAGCCAGCTCCAGAAAAGAAACCGGTTACTTCTGGCTTTCTTGAAAGATAAGAAGTTCTGGAAATAGAAAACCTCCGTTCTTCCTAGCACTGAAGAGCTGTTTCCAGTTTGCCACAATCCTAGCAGGAGGCCATTCAGTACAGCGGCTAACGGCATGGACTTTGAAGCCAGATTCATCCAGGTCTGAATACCGGATCTGCCAATGACCAGCAGTGCGCTCTTGGCCACGTTACTTAACCAACCTGGGTCTTGGGTTCCACATCTATAAAATGTGGGGACGATGAAAACAGAGCTACATGGGGTTGCTGTGAGCATCAAACGAGTGAATTCACGTAAGATGCTTGGAATGGTGGGTGGCAACACAGGAAGTGTCCGTTAAAGGCTGGTTGGCATTACGGTCATTATTCTTTCCTTATACCCAGCCTAGCTCACTCGTGTACATTGCCTGTGTGTCCCTTGTACATATTTGAGATTGCATCAAACAATCGCAACGTCAAGGTTTAATGAAGAACACGGTGCTAGGGGAGCATAGCTGGGTGGACTGACTTAGTCTGGAGGGTAGGAAATGGTTCTAGAGGGAATGAATGGCCTGAACAACCAGGCCCAGCTGGAGATGTGCTCTAGGGTACAGAAAGAGCCCTGGGGGGCCAGGGACCCCCAGGGAGCTCAGGGCCTGGGCTGTGCTGGGGTCTGGCCAGGAGGGAGAGAGTCACACTAAAGCGTTGGTCATCTGGTAGAATGCAAAGGCACCTGACTCACCTTGGCTCTGCCTGTTGGAATTTCTGCAGGACAGACTTGGCCAAACTCTTGATATTCTACAAAGACCTGAACCAGCGATCCATCATGGAGAGTCCCGCCAACAGTGTGAGTAGCTTCCTTCTGGAACCTGTCCGGGGTCTGCAAACGTGCCCATCTGCCCAGATCCAGTCTGCCGGCGATCCAGTCTGAGCTGCTAGGGCCGCCATAGGCCAGCCAGGCCTGGGATCAGTGCAGGCAAGGGGAAGAGGGGACAGAAAGCCCTCCAAACCCATTCAGGGCCAGGACTCGCCAGGAGCTCCCTTGGGAATCGGGGGTCCCTGCATGAGAACAACTTGGGAGGAGGGACCCTCTTCACAATATGGCTTGGCCTCCCTTGCAGATCGAGATGCTTCTGTCCAACTTCGGGGGCCAGCTGGGCCTGTGGATGAGCTGCTCTGTCGTCTGTGTCATTGAGATCATTGAGGTCTTCTTCATCGACTCCTTCTCTATCATTGCCCGCCACCAGTGGCAGAAGGCCAAGGATTGGTGGGCCAGGAGGCACACTCCCCCTCAGGGCCAGGACAACCCAGGCCTCGATATAGACGACGACCTGCCCACTTTCACCTCCGCGTTGCGCCTGCCTCCAGCCCCAGGGACCCAGGTGCCGGGCACACCGCCTCCCAGATACAATACCTTGCGTTTGGAGAGGGCCTTCTCCGACCAGCTCTCAGATACCCAGATACCAGCTGAGTCCTGAGGCAAGGAGGTGAAGAAAGATGTAGCTAGGAGCCCCGGCCACGGTCTGAGAACTTAGACCCTGTCTCCTGCACGTGGAGGGGCCCTTGGCACCCGCTCTGGGCTTTTCAGAGACAATGACTAAAAGTCTCCTTTGACCAACACATGGGGCCTGGGTGTGTGCAGCGACCCCCTGGACCCTGCCCAGCCACCCTCACAGCCGTCCAGGGCGAGAAAGATCCAGCCGTCCAGGGCGAGAAAGATCCGGCCGCCCAAACCCCTCGCACATCCACTCCAGAGAGAGATGGGGGTTGAGGAAATGGTGCCTGGCCGGCCGAAAGCCAGGAGGAAGCCTGACAGAGATCTCACCAGGTCTTGAGAGAGAGAGAGACTCCTCCAAAGCCTCAAGCCGGGAGTTTCACCCGCTCCTCCGGCCTGGGCTGGGGCCCAGCCTTACGACGACCTGAAGTAACAAGGGCGGACAGCCACTGCCTAGTGCCAAAGTCAGGAAGAAACACCAGCCCCGGCGCTGGGGCTGTTTGCGGATAAACTGTTCTTAGTCTCTGACATTGGGGCAAGGTCTCTCCTCGGTGCCCTCAGGCAGGGAGCTGGCCCGAGGTCCTTGGAGTGTGTGGGGGTGAGTGTAGTGTGGGGAGGCCTGAGGGCATGACGAGCTCCTCACTCTGAGAGCATGGGTGGGGCCATGTTCTGAGCAGCTAAGCCAGTGGCCCGGGCCCATTACCCAAGCACAGAAAGGCCCGTGAAAGGGCCTTGCTGGACACACCTGTCCAGCGGTGGCCCAAGGCACAAAGGATCATTGGATAACTCGTCGCAGCCTCTCTTCCTCCCAGGCAGCCCACCCCACCCCCTCACGGCCTGCCCCTCCCCAGCAAGCCGACTTACCGCAGATAGCCATTCCTGGACTCACACTTTCCAACGTGATAATGCCTAACATGAATTAGACACACAGTAGGTGTCCAATGATAGCTCAGCAGCAGCGTGCTGAGTGCTGTTCTAAGCGCTTACAGACATGACTGTCGGGGACAGCAAACTGCAACCCACAGGCCAGATCCTGGTTTTGCTCACGACCTAGGAATATTTTTATTTCACTTTTTTCAATGGTTAAAAAGATCAGAAGACGACTCTTTTGTGACTCATGAAAATTACACAAGGTTTCATTTTCAGTGTCCATCAATAAAGTTTTATTGGCACACACCCATGCGCACTCATTTTCATATTACCTGCACCTGTGTTGGCGCCACATCTGCCACCATCCGAGTAGCTGCCACAGAGACCCTAGGTTCGCAGAGCGTAACGTATGTATTCCCTAGCCCTTGATGAAGAAAAATCTTCCAAACCCTGGATTGGCACATTAAGCGGGTCTGATTATCCCATTGTACGGATGCAGAAACTGAGGCACAGAAAACCTAAATTACTCACCCCAGGTGCCACAGCTCGGAAGCTGCAGAGCTGGGATCTGGACCCATGCTGTCTGACCCCAGAGTCGTGCACTTATCACTCTATCACTTCGCATCCAAGCAGAATCTGTGTCTTTTAGAGGTGAGGCTCAGGTCAGTCCAGGTGGGAAAGGGGAAGGCTCAGCATCTGGTGATAGGGCAGAAAGAAGTCCTTCAGCCACAGGTGCAGGGAGGCCCGCATTTCAGGCCTGCTTCCAGCACAAGGATGCTCGCCAGTGGAGGCAGGAGTCTTGGTGAGAGAGCAGGGGCTGTGGGCCCCTCCCTGGGCCCAGGGACACCTGGTCTAACCTGACTCCAGGCCAGTGGATACAACAGCCATCTTTGGCCCCCTGCAGAGGCTCCACTGGACCTCACTGGTTGGGGTGCCGTGAGCAGGCCTGGCAGCCAGCAGGAAGGAGGTCACCGTGACCGCGGGCTGGCTGGGGCGTCCCCTGAGGAGTGGGCTCAGAAGCCAGGGCTGAGGCAGGCCAGCATCAGGTTACAGAGGGTGCGCTCCTGGCTCCTGTCCTTACTGGGCTGGGGTGGCTGCAGCCAGCGGGGATGGGAACTTGTGGTGTGTGCCGGCCCAGGCACCGTGGAGAGCTGCTGCTTCCTCCTCGGAGGAGGAGGCAGGAGGGGTGGGGGCTGTGTCCTCCCATTCATGGAATTGACCAGACTCAGCATGATGTCACAGGCAGGAACACTTCCGGTGAGCCTGGGGTTGCTGCTGGCTTTGTCCAAGGTGAGGCCAGGAGCAACTGGAGTCAACAGCCACCCATCCCCCCTTCCCCCCTGGGGAGCACATGCTCACAGCTTAGGGTTCTGGCCAGCTCCTTCCTGCCTGGCACCCAACCCCAGGGCTTGTGTTCCTGCAATGCCAGATGGGCCCTCTCTCTTCCTCCACGCACCGTCCCAGGCCAGGCACCGATGTCACCATCTCCATCAAGCCTTCCTATGCCCTCCCTTGCCCCAGGAAGTTGGAGCCCCCTCTATTCTAGAATTTTCATCCCCTGATAGAATTTTTATCCATTGGACTGTCTCTCTCACTAAGCAGTGAACACTCGAGGGCAGGATGTCTTATCTCTTCGTCCTTAGATGGGGACAGGACTGAGGACAGGGATGGCATTTAGGAAAAGTTTACGGAACTAAGAAAAACAACAACAATCATAATAATGGCTGATAATTGTTGAGCACTTTTGTGTCAAGGGATTCCGTGAAGCACTTCCAAAAACAGAAACTGAGCCACCGAGTTCTCCTCGTCCACTAGTAACTGATAGGCCCAGGGCTGCCCCCAGTGCTTGGGTACATACCCGCCAGGTTCACTATCTTTCAGAGGGAAGCTCTTCCTCAGAGGCCAAGTCTGGAAGAAGCCCCTGCCAGTCCTCTCTGGCTTCCTTCCCAACCAACCTGCTCAGCTGAAGGGCCCTCTCGTGCCAGGATAGACTGGACAGAGTGGGGGAGAGCCACCTCGTGCCCATACCCCATGGATAAGCAGCCACTGGGGTCCCGAGTTCCTGACTCCAAGGGACAATGACTCCGTTTGCCGATCACAGGAATGTCTGTTCTCGATGGGCCACTGTTCTTAAACCATTACCTCATTGCTCTTCTGATCTCCCTTCTGGGCCCCTGAGTTCCAAACCCAAGTGTGCCACCGCCCCCAGAACATCTAAGGACAGAGACACGTCACACTCAATGACCTGCACCCCAACGGGAAAGCACAATGAGACCCCAGCCTCTGCTGGGGGGGTTGCAAACTCAGGAGAGAGACCCGCACCGGACAGAGACATGTGGTCCTCGTCAAGGGTCTGGATTAGGTCACCATGGGAGAGAAACAGGTCGAGAATGGAAGCAGCTGGAGCATGAGAAGGAGCCTGGGTGAGAGATGGGGCAGTATGAGCACCGCCCCCCACCCCAGATCCCCCTGTCTCTCAGTCCTCCTTCCTCCCATCCCAGGCTATGGCAGGAGGATGTTGCCAAAGGGCAGGCTGGACCATGGCATTTCCTGCTTAGAAGCCTCTGGAGGCAGCCCATCACCTTGGCTACACTTCTCAAGTCACAGGACTTAGCCCGTGGTGCCAACGTTAGGCGGCACACACACTCGATGGTCACACCATGTGCCGGCCCCGCTCTTTCTGCACGCATCCTCCCAGACCAGATACAAATATCATCATCTCTGTAAAGTCTGCCCTGACCTCCTCCCCCAGCCCTGCAGACGGAAGCCTTAAGTATCCTCCCTTGATGGAATAGGAAAACCATTCCGTTCTCTACTGCGCCAAGACATCAAGCACCCAGGGTGCTCCTGGGTCCCTCGCACCCTCCTGTCTAACGGCGAGCTGCGTGGGAGCCCACAGCCCCGCATGGAGCGGCACCGCTGTGTCTGCACGGCCGGTGTTTCTGCTTCTCTTACCTTCCACTTGTTACAAACCAGACTGGTGTCTCCTTCAGCGACGGGTTCAACAAGCGCTTATTCATTCGACAACTGTTTACGGAGCACAGCCTTCGTTTCCAACAACTGCCACAGAGTCAATGATTTAAAACCACAGAATTTTCTGCCCTTGCCATTCCAGAAGCCAGAACTTTGAAGAGTGCTACAGGGACTACCATCAACGGGTCAGCCAGGCTTGCACTCCCACCGGATGCTCTAGGCGAGAACCCGATTCCTTGCCCTTTCCGGCCTCCCGAACTGCACTCCTCAGCTCCTGGCCCCTGCCTCCACCTTCAAAGCCGGCAAACTAGCCTTGCTTCAGTTGTCGGTCGCACGGGGCCCTTCAAAGGCACCCAAATCTCCTCTGCCTCCTTTTTATAAGGACCCCTGTGGTTGCACCCAGGGAACCCAGGATAATCTCCCCTTCTCCAGACCCTTAATCTCATCTGCAAAGTGTCCATTCATGCCCTAGGAAGGAGCATTCACAGATTCTAGTGATCAGAACGTGGATGTCTTGGGGACAAGCACTGATGGATGTAAGGGCTGGGGGTGCATCTCAGTTCAGCAGACAAAACTCCCTGGGCTCGTGGAACCTACACGTGCCTGCGTGGACAGACACACACAAAAACCATCAATAAAAAACGTAAATAGGTTACACAATATGTCAGAAAGCGAGAAGTGCTCTAGAAGAAAGAACGTGTGGGGCAGGATAAGGAGGGACTGGGAATTCACAGGGGGCTATTTGCAGTGTTATTAGTCAGGGGAGACCTCCTTGCAAACCCATCATCTGAACAGCTTGAGGGAGAACAGTGTTGCAGGCAGAGGGAAAGGGTAATAAGAGTTTCCTCTTAAAATAAGTAACTATTTTATTAATTATTAGTATATGATTTATTGGTATGTATTTATAGAATTTATATATTTTCTACATATGTTTCTGTATTATTTATAATGATTATATTATTTGATATAATGACTACTCATTAGTAAAATATCACTCCTCCTTGAAAAGAAATGAAGTACTAATATTTACTATAATGTAGATAGGCTCGAAACCATGACGTTAAGTGAAAGAAGCCAAAGACAAAAGACTACAGACTATATGATTCCACTTCTATGAAGTGCCAAGAAGCGCCTGCAGAG